TGGGCAGAGAAATGGAAGCTTTCAGAAATTACTCTTTCCACATATCACCATACATTTAAAGCACATAGCCTCCCCCCCTACAAGGAATTCTGGGAGCTGTAGTTTACCCCTAACAGAACTGAAATTTCTGTCGCCCTTCAAGAACGACAGTTCTCAGGATTCTCCGGGGGAAGATGTGCTTTAAACATATGGTATGGCTGTCAGTGCTTATGTGGGCTAATGCTATTCAAACCTGATCTAAAAGGGTGCATTCAGTTCCCTACACTGGTTTTGCTCCCATATTTGGTATCAGGAAGTAGTTTAGAAAATATTTAACTCTCTCCGCCCCCTCTTCCTTGTAGCATATGTTTGGCCTGAGTCGGATGGAACCATCTGTTCTACAAGTCTCTTGCTATGTTGCAGTCCATTTGCTTCTGTTCTCTGCTTGTGATATATGGTATTCCACGTTATGTGTTGAGTGATGGAGAGGAGAATGGACAAATGGCAAATGGTGCGTGGATTGATTCTCTCTTGAAGCAAGGTCATTGGACTTTACAATCATCTAGCCCTGATTTTGGGAACTAAGGAAATAGATGGCCAATGGCACAAGAAAAGTGTTGCACAAATTTCAAATAGTGCACAATGTATTTACACATTGGTTTATTTCAGTTATTTTTAAGTGCGAGTTCAAAGAGAAGCAGTATCATTGTTCATTACAAATTGGTTGGATTGCAAATCCTTTTAACATGAAATCAAATTATTCCTTTGGGTGCTCTCTCCCACTGTAATATTGTTCTAGAATGAGTTCAGATTATCTGCCAGGATAGAAGCATCTGTCTCTTATCATGTATAACTTTTCCTGATTATTTCTCGAAGGGCAGACTAAACATGCAGTTCTGACATAATACAGCATCAGATCTGTGTTTCTGGTTTGCTCAAATGCCTCCACTAGCTGAACTAAAATCTCAAAAAGAAAAGGAAAAAAGAAAAGAGCAATAGCCGCGACCTCAAGCGAATCTAATGGGAGAGGTTAGAGTGCTGGAAGACCAATAACAAACATCACACTCACCTTATGTGGAAGTGTTGCTGCTGAATGCATACCTGTAGCCATAACCTTTTCCAGAACAATTCAAACTGTGTACCACCTGTTCAGTTCCTGTCCTAAGTGGTGGGAATTACTACAAAACTTGGTTGGTTGTTCTCTTCATGGTACGTCTGAAACAAGATGGTCAGATCATGTTGAATGTGTAAAGTCATTTGCAGCTCCCTTGCCTATCATTAAATTGGCACTGGAAGACTTCCTAGGACTAAATTTGACAGCCCAAACGAGAAATGAATTCCATGGAGATTTAATATGTGACATCTTTTGCTTGTGTGTTACTGCCAGTCATGTGGCACAAAATATTAGCTGGCATTGATATATGCAACAAAGTCATCCAAGATAAGAGATGCCACACTGGATATTGAAGTAGCAAACATAGAAACTCTCTTCACAGAGCTGACAAAACTTCAAAACAACTGGAAATGCCTGTGGAATGAAGCCAAACTGGTTGCATCAAACTTAAATACAGAAATAAAACTCTCCCATAGATGTGATGGAGTCAGGCACAAGAGGGCAAGGCTGCATAACCACAGCACACCTACTGCTAACATGGAAGAAATGAATGGCATAGATGATATTCCAGAAGAGGCCTGCTTCAGAAAGTGTGTGTTTTACATTTTGGTAGCAGGATTAACTGTCCGCTTCAATGCTTTTAAGCACTTGGCAGAAAATTTTGATATCTTATAGAAAGATTTCACCATGTCCAAAAGTGATGTGGAGAGGAAAGCCTTATTTTTATCAGAACAATATCCTGCTGACCTTAATGGTGAAGATTTTGGAAAGGAAATGCAACATTTACCCTCAGTATATAAAGCAAATTTTGTAAATACACAGTTAAAGCCATTAGATCTGTTAACAGACTACAAAGTACAGATTTTCAAATGTTTGTGTTAGCTTAAGAATACTATTAACAATAGTAAGCAACAGTAGCTTCTGGAGGGAGGTCATTTAGCAAACTTCAGCTAATTAAAATTTATTTAAGGTCCACAGTGTCTCAGGAACATCTTGTGGATTTCGCCAGGTTAGGTATTGAATCAAACATTGCCAGAGCAAGTAATTTTCATGCTGTCATTCAATTTTTTTCACAAAAAGGCCAGGAAATATCTTTTTTAAAAGTAAATATTAAGTTTATCTGCCCTTTTAAAAACAAAATGAATACTTCTGCATTGCAATATAAAATGATGTTCCGATGTGAATTCTTTCTCCTTATCTGCATTGCAGCATAAACAAAGTTATTCAAATCAAATTTGCTTTCTTATCTCTGATCTTCTTTTATTTTATTTATACTTGTCTAAATTTATTGTGGAAGGAGTGTACTAGCATAAGGCCTTAAATGAAGAGAATTGACAGAGCACCTCTCTCCACTCCTTTCTCCTCTTCCATACCCCTTTTGACCTTGCAGGCTCCAGCTCATGGCCTAAAACTGTAGTGGATAAAAACAGAACGACTAAGAGGCCATGTATGCTTCATAAATTGTGTTTGTGCAAATAATCTGGCTGCAAGGATGCTTTGCCATAAGGTGGACCAACGGGATAGCCTGTTGCTGCTCAAACCTCTCTCTTTAAATGATACGGCTGTGTGCTTGAGCCCAAGGGAAGAGTGGAAGTGTGTGGCTGCTGACAGACAGCATGATGTAGTGCTTGGACTAGGACCAAGGGAGGCCTGAGTTCAAATCCCCATTTGGCCATGAAACTCGCCTGGGTGACCTTGGGCCAGACTCTCACTCGCTCAGCCTAACCTAAAAATGTCATTAGTAATAATAACTTGGAAGCCACATGTTCTAATGCCAGTATTCATTCTGCTTCCAGTGCCAGCGGGACTGTGCTAGTAGATAATTTCACCCCAGCCTATAACCAGGGTAAAGCTTCTTTGAGGTTGGGGGCAGGCCCATTTACTCTCTTCCTTTAGAAATGGCACAAGTTGTTGAGTACCTGAAATACTGGGGAATCGTGCTGTTCCTTGAATGAATTAAAAAAAAGGCTGGCAAATGAAAATGCAATCACTTTCGGGCTGGATGGGAGCCTTGGGAGAAGGGGTCCTTAAAATTATGTTTTTGGCAGACATCTGTGGAGTTCAGTCTGAGTGTATTTGAAAGTTGGCCCTTCTCCAAAAAATTGGTCATGCTTCTTGGAAATGAGAAAGGAGCTAGGAATTTACGTAACGTTGCATTAATGGACTATAGGTGACTTGAAGTTGACCCAGGAGTAAACAAGAATTGCATCAGTGGTTTGGGAGACACTGGCTCTTCCAGAGCATTTTCCCAATCGGGGATTGTTAATTGGAGTTATATATCTGTATGCTTTCCTTCTTAAGCCATATTGAATTGATTTATGGAAAGAGGCAACAACAAAAGCACTGCTAGCTGGGTGCACCTTAACGAAGCTTTTCCCACATAGCCTTGCACTATTGTCATTGTCCTCCTACCATGGTGGACTTGCAGGCCAGTAATTCCAGGTGGGACAAGCTCATGCAGCTTTAAATTATACACCTTTCACTTTATTGGGTCCCCTACCGCCTTTGCATTCCATGCATAATTCAGTGTGCAAGGTTATAATAATAATAATTTATTATTTGTACCCCGCCCATCTGGCTGGGTTTCCCCAGCCACTCTGGGTGGCTTCCATAGAAACCAAAAATACACTATACACAGGTTCAGCAGGTGAAAGAGTAGACTTCATTTATACAAACATTCAGCACATTCTTGCAATTGTTAATAAGAATCTGCATCTCTGGTTCACAGTTTTTGATCACAATTCCCACTCTTGTTTCTTTCTGTGCGTTAAGCAGTAATACCACAGCACATTGGACTGGGAGTAATTCCCATTGAAGTCAGTGGGACCTACTTCTGAAAAGTCAAATACAGGGTTGCACTGTTAGTTGTTTTATATTGACATTTCTGCAGCTGAATGCCACAGCTGACTGTGTGAGTGATATCTTCCTGTATCTTCTCAGTGTGGTAAACCAGATTGATTCACAGAGCACCAGTGTGGTTGAAAGAAAAAGAACATATATAATGTATACACCCAGGATAATAGTGCTCTTCACTCTCCTTCCTGTTTTAACCCCTGACTTCTGCACAAGAGGATGAGTTTTTTTTCTTTTCACATTGGAAAGAATCCTATTCTCTCTGAACAGACTGCAAAAGATGGGTTCAGAAAGCTCAATGGTGCCCCTTAGTGGATTTTTATTGCTACTTCACCTAAACCAATGCAATTTGTGACATTCAGAACCACAGGAATTGTTTGTTATCCACCTTAATTGTTGCATTACAAATAATACTTCTAATACTGAAATCCAACTTAGTTTCATTTACATATTTCTTTCCCCACATATTTGTAGATGCAGGTGTCTCAAACCTACAAATGGGCACACACTTTTGAAATCCAGTTGCCACCAGCTGATTTATATTTCTTCCTAGCAGAATATATACAAATACTTTATGGAAAATAAAGTAATGCTATAGGACATTACTAATGGTTAAAATGTATGCAGCAAAGCCATGTTGAATTCTAACACATTGCCATTTATTATGTCTAATTTAATGTATGCAGCAAAGCCATGTTGAATTCTAGCACATTGCCATTTATTATGTCTAATTTATTTTTACTGATATGGCGGCTGCAGGCTATAGAATAACTCCTATTGGAGAGCAACTGGAGCAATCCTAGAAGGAATTTTTTACAAGAATGATCACCCAAATGTCTATGAAGTGTGAAATACTTAAAAAAGAAATGGGTGCATTTTGTGTATTGGAGTAACTTGTCATGATTAAGCCAAGAGTTTGAAGTGGTGTGTGCTTCCAGTTACTGTTCACATTTGTAGAAATGCAGAGTTAAAGGGTGGGGGAAGGAATAACAACAACCTCTGAAGAAAAGTGAATATACGTTTTAAAGAATGGTCTTGTTGCTTTTTGCTGTAGGAAGAAGAAGCAGAGAGGAAAGAAGAAAAAAGCCAAAGACAGAAGAAAGCAAGGAAAACAGGCAGGAAAACAGTGGCCGAGAATCTAGAAGACAAAACCGAGAACGGGACAACAAAAGTAAAACACAGTTGAAGAAAAGAAGAGCACAGGATAAACAGCAGAAACCAGTAGCCACCAGCACTGTACACTAAATCGCCTTTACACCACTGTTTAAGACTTTTGCTGCTGCTATTTCCACCAGTTCTCTGAGGCTGGTGCTCCCCAATTAAGCCACAAATGGACAATATTTCCAGTTATTCTTAAATCTTAAATGACATTCCAAATAATTCCTATTATATTCTTCATGCAGTCATAGTTTATTCAAGAGACTGACATGAGCCAAGATTCTTTTTAAGTAAAAGAAAAACCCTTTAAATGGGATACTTTCAAACTGTTATATTATATGCTTCCATGCATCTCTAAGAGGCAATTTAAAAGTTTTGTATATAATTATCAATATGGTATAAGGTATAGCAATATATTGAATGACATCTGCGGGGGGAAAGTCTTTTTCCTTTGTAAAATATTTTTTCAATCTATTGTTTATGAAGCAAGAGATATCTAAGTAAAATATACAGTATCCCTTTGTGCATAATTATATATGCTACATAAGAGTCCGGAGAAAGAGGAAATCTGTTAAGAGGTGTTGGGAATCTAAGCTTTGATGCTGCACATTCTTATCAGAACTCAGCTACCTGGTGGTTCCCTGGTTTTCATCCCAGACTCACGTGAGAAACTCCCGGCTGAACAGTTTCAGGGCTCTGAAAGCCAAGGGGGTAAAACAGGGGAGGAAGAAGCCACATTAAACACACCAGAGACTCTTTTTCTGAAGAACAAGCAATAGCGCTTAGCTATACAGCGCTCCTATCCACAGGACAGCACAATAGTTTCTGGTCTAAACCATGATTATACAAGATGTGCCGTTCTATCCTTCTTCTTTTTTTGTAACTCTGTGTAACTTAAATCAGCATTTCAAACCTTCCAGTGACTGACAAATCGTATTTGCAGGAAAACAAACGAACGAACAAAACACGGAGCGAATAAAGAACAGAGAAGACAGACCACGTAAATATAATGTCATTTTGCACTGTTGATTTTTTTGCCCTTTCATTTTTTTAAAAAAATTAAACACTATCACACAATCTGCTTTGTAAACAGAGAAAAAGATGTTCTTTAGAAATGTGCTATCTAATAAACTAAGGCCACTTTACTGAATCATGTATATTTGTGAGTGGAATACATGAGAATTAATTAGAAGAAGAATACTTCCAGACAAAGGTCTTTAGGGGTGACATGCATCCTTATTCAAGATAGATTGTGAACTAACCAGCTGTTTGGGGAGATGTGCAGCGGGAAGTTGCTAGCAGCACAAGACAACTTTCCAACCAGCCCTGTAGCTGTGCCTTCAACAGGCTCCTGATCTGTAGCAATTACCGTATTTTTCGCACCATAGGGCGCACCGGACCATAGGGCGCACCCAGTTTTTTGGGGGGGAAATAAAGGGGAAAAAATTATTTTTCCCCCCAGGCGCGGGGCTGGGACGGGGGAAGCTCGAGCTTCCCCCGACCCCAGCCCCCAAACAGGCAGCTCTATGCAAGCCGTGGGAGCCCAGCGCTGGCTCCCGCTGCTTGTGGAGAGGTCTGCGAAGCCTGGACGTGCTGATCTCAGCGCGTGCAGGCTTCGGCATGCCGGCAACTCTCCGCAAGCAGCCGGAGCGCTCCCGCTGCTTGCGGGGAGGTCCGCGAAGCCTGGACGCGCTGATCTCAGCGCGCGCAGGCTTCGTCATGCTGGCAACTCTCCGCAAGCAGCGGGAGCGCTCCCGCTGCTTGCGGGGAGGTCCGCGAAGCCTGGACGCGCTGATCTCAGCACGCGCAGGCTTCGGCATGCCGGCAACTCTCCGCAAGCAGCGGGAGCCCAGCGCTGGGCTCCCGCTGCTTGCGGAGAGGTGTGCGAAGCCTGGAGAGCGTGAGGGGTTGGTGCGCACCGACCCCTCTCACTCTCCAGGCTTCAGCGAAAGCCTGCATTCGCACCATAGGACGCACACACATTTCCCCTTCATTTTTGGAGGAGAAAAAGTGCGTCCTATGGTGCGAAAAATACGGTAGCAGGCAAAGCTTTTGACAGCATGGAGGTTAATGTCGCTACCTGCTAATTCCTGCAGATCAAATTGCTTTTAAAGGCATAGCTAGAGGTGCAGTTCATAAGTGGGCAACTCTAGCACAAACTACGAGTCCAATCCTTCCTGTACACAGTCTGGTGTAACGGTGGTGTTTGCACAGTACAGTTTACATTACAGTGGTACCTCTGGTTACGAACTTAATTCGTTCCGGAGGTCCGTTCTTAACCTGAAACCATTCTTAACCTGAGGGGTGTTTCCGCTAATGGGGCCTCCCGCTGTCGCTGCGCCGCCGGAGCATGATTTCTGTTCTCATTCTGAAGCAAAGTTCTTAATGCAAGGTACTACTTCGGGTTAGCGGAATCTGTAGCCCGAAGTGTTTGTAACTCGAGGTGTTTGTATCCCGAGGTATCAATTACCGTATTCATAAAAACAACAAGCACAGGAGAACAACTGTTTCCCTCACTTGCTGTGATTCAAAATATGATTTAAGTGACCTTTGGGTGGTGGTGGTGAACCTGAAGTAAGACTACCACACACTGGAAAAATCAGTTTTAGCATTTGTTTCACAGAAAGCTGAGCAGATGCTACACCTTAACTCTAGTTCCACATTGTGAGGGGCAGCTGTATATTCATTTGTCATCTAGAGCAAAATCGGAACTTTGGCGAGGGGCCCTCCCTACCCAGATTGGTTTGTGTGTGTGTTCTGCAAAATATCATTGAAGCAATCATGGTGCATTAGTGATACACTTATGCTAGACTGCCCACACATCAATCTACTTCACTAGTTGTTCTGAGATGCTCCCTCAATGTTAGTGCATTATTGCCATCTCAAGGGGCACTCGTGTTCTATAGTGCAACAAAAGTGGGGTGAAAAACAAATAAATAAAATGTTTGTGGTGTGAAAAATTACAGGATTTCAGCAGAAGCTTATGGGATGTGCCCTGATCAGAAATTAAACAGTATATTCATTCTAAAAACATTTACAGTACTGAAAACGACATAATATATAACTGCTCCAGTGTTGTCTATATTCACATCTTTTTCTTTCTCAATTTTAGCAAAACATTTGCCCCTCTCTCGGGTAGGTCAGCATAGCCTCTAAAACAGAGGTCGGCAACCTAAGGCCCATGAGCCAGAAGCGGCCCATGAGGGTTGCTTAACTGGCCCATGAGCCACCCCTGAACCGAGCCGCCTGCTCGGCAAGGCCCCGCCCGCTGCACTAAACCAGCGCAGTGGAAATCGCTTCTGAGCATGCCCAGACACTGAAAATCACTTTTTCGGCGTCTAGGCATGCGCAGAAGTGGTTTCCGGTGCCGCGGACATGCGCAGGCGCGATTTCCAGCATCGCACTGAGGTGGTCTGGCCCGGCCCACAGAGGATCTCCACGGGAGTGATCCGGCCCATGCCCAGTAAGCCTTGCCGACCCCTGCACTAAAACCACCAGGTCTGCAGCACCATATAACAAGACAGGTCATTACTGACATTGAGTGAACTCAGTATGAAAATAAATATTAGGCCTTCACCTGCCCTCTCTCCCTAAAATGGGAGCTTAATGAAGTGGTCATAGAATTGACTGTACAGTTGCTCATGTTCATACTTCTCTTTAAGTGTGTGATTTATGCTGCTCACATTTGTAGTGGTAGGTAGGTGAAGAAGCAGTCGCTTCTGTGTGAAGCTATAATGAGTAACATTAACAATTTTTGAAATAAAGTGCAAAAACATGCCAATGTCGACTGTCACATTGTCATTGCCCCTGGCTGCCAGCTCTCCTCACTGCATTTGTTAATTAAGCAGTAAGATATAACAGAAGGTGGAACACTGCTGATTAATGCATGCCTGGGGAGCGTAGAAAAAATCCTGTTATCTTTGGGTGATGTCACCCAAAGAGTTCATCATTCTGCCCCTCAGAATAGCACCATCTGGAGTGCCTGTGCTTTGAACATGGACACAGAGTCTTCTTTTATTATATTCATAGGATGCCAATGAGAAGAACAATATTACTAACAGTGGACAGATCATCCTATTTCCATTCCAGGTCAGTTTCCTATGTGATCAATTATAGGACTGTTCTGCTAACCCATATTTGTGGATTTTTATTATTTTTAAATGAAACACTATTTTGTATGCATTCTTCCCCTAGCCGAGATAATGTGTAAGCATGGTAAGGTAAAGGTAAAGGACCCCTGACCATTAGGCCCAGTCATAACCGACTCTGGGGTTGCAGCGCTCATCTCGCTTTCTTGGCTGAGGGAGCCAGCGTACAGCTTCTGGGTCATGTGGCCAGCATGACTAAGCCGCTTCTGGCGAACCAGAGCAGCACACGGAAACGCCGTTTACCTTCCCGTCAGAGCGGTACCTATTTATCTACTTACACTTTGACATGCTTTCAAACTACTAGGTTGGCAGGAGCAGGGACCGAGCAACGGGAGCTCACCCCATTGCGGGGATTCGAACCGCCGACCTTCTGATCAGCAAGTCCTAGGCTCTGTGGTTTAACCCACAGCGCCACCCACAACCCAACTATTAAAACTCCCTCTTGCCAAGTGGCGCATGGGGGGCAGGCGCAGCAGCGGAGGAAGCCTCTTGGCAACACCTACAGAGCGGGGCACGCACATGGCGTCCATAGGGACGGCGTGCGTGGTGCAGCAGGGAGGTGCAATTGGCGGTGATCCCCGCCCAGGCAAGAGGAGCTGCCCAGGAGGCAGCAAAAGGGGCCGTGGGGCTGGGAGGGATGCTGTCCTTGGCTCCCCCCCACCCACAGCCACCTATGTCTCCTGCTCCTCCTTTTGGGGCAGGACAGGGAGTCGGAGCCTCGCTGGAAGCCTGAGGAAGCTGGAAAAAGCCTCTCTCAGCACGGCGCCAACAACGGCGGAAGCCACTGAGCGGGCCCCTTAACAGCCCAACGCCAATCCCAGGCACGCAGGGAGGAGCCGGGTGGCCACCTCAGTGCCTCGCTTGGCCCTGAACTCATGCAGAGCCCACAGCAAAAGAGCCCGCTCAGCGGCCTTGGGAGCCCAGTGCTGTGCACCACTAGAGACAATGGTTAAGACGTCCCTGATTGTGGGGGAGGCAGGATGATGTAATTATTCATGAAGTCAGATACACAACCATGCCTCTGTACAGATGCCAAGCATACTGAAACAATCCCAGGTTAATATGGAGATACAGATAACCTAATCAACCAATTGCAAATTCTCCATGCGAGCATTTTCGAATCAAATGAGCTCAGTCCTTCAGGGAAATCCGGCTCTGGTAGGTTTTAACAAAAAAGATACACCTCTAAATTACAATTCTCAAGGCAAATTTCATCGCTGAGGTCATGCTGAACTATCATCCAGTGATCCAAATTAGTGTCAGGTATTTTTCTTAGTTATGTAGCAACCTGGCATATATGGCACTTTACAGAATAACGTAAGGAAAAAAATGATGGTCCCAAGAAGCTTACAATCTAAATTTTGACAGAGAGAGAGGAAAAGAAAGGGGGGGGATTCAGAGAGACCAGAGTATCAAAGGAAGACGGGGTTGGGGTATAAAAGCAACAGGCATAGTCACATCAGATAAAGTGGAAACAAAAGACTTCTAAGTACCGTATTTTTCGCTCCATAAGACACACTTTTTTCCTCTTAAAATCTAAGGGGAAATGTCTGTGCGTCTTATGGAGCAAATGTGTGGTCCCTGGGGCTGGGGGGGGGGACAGGGGCTTCCCCCGTCAGCCCCCGACCTGCTCTTTGGGGCTGGGGGAAAGCCGGGCTTCCCCCACCGCCAGCCCCACAAGCTCGGGGAGTAGCGGGAGGGCTGTGCGCAGACTTTCCGCTGCTCCCCGACTTGCTTTTGGGGGCTGGGGGTGGGGGAAACCCAGGCTTCCCCCGCCAGCCCCACAAGCTCCTGAGCAGCTCTGGGGTAGCCTGCAGAGCCTCCACAGAGCAGTGGGGAGCCTTCATCCTGCTGCCCTGGGGAGGCTTCGCGCGGCTATCCCTGGCTTTTGCGGGAGGTGGGGGAAGGGACAGAGTGAGGCTCTCTCACTTCCCCCACCTCCCGCAAAAGCCCTCAAGAGCCGCATATTTTTTCTTGAATTCCCCCCCCCCCAAAAAAAAGT